GGGGGTGCGGGCGTTGCCTCTTTGCTGGTCCACTCCTGCGGGCCCAAATGTATACCAGTCCGAGTGGGACTCCAGGTCTGGGAGCTGCTCTGTGGGCTATGCAAGCTCCATTAACATTTCAAAAGGCAACCCCTCAAAGCTGAGAGGAAGAGCAGAGACTTATAAACTAAGAAGTTGTTTCTGTTTAAGTTACTTTTCAAAGTAGTGGGGCTATGTTTAAGAAGACTTTGGGATTTCCTTCAGGAAACATGCTTCTTGGCTTTCCTTTGGGGAGGGAGTAAAGGCAGAGTGATATTTGGTCTGAAGCTGGCTGAGTAACCAGAACTTCTAGGGAGAAGAAAAAATATATATATATAATAATCTCCATAATATCTATATAGTTGAATATTGTGAAAATATATACTTTTTCCCCTCCCAAGGACAAGGTTCAATGTATGCTCAGATTTGGGATTTAGGAAAGAAGCTTAGTAGCCTTCCAGTTTGCCTAAGGATAGTGGCTCTTTTCAAATGCTATATCCAAAGACTGCTGTCCATGTTAGGGGGGGAAGAAGGGTAGTTAGAGTCCAAAAGGTTAAGGGTTTAGAGGTCAGTCCTCCCGGCTGAAATACAGCTAATCGAATAGAAAATTTGTCCTCTGGATGAACCTGATTCTGTAATTTAGCCGAACTTCAGTAAAATACCTTTTCAGCTTCTCAACGTGAGGGCGTCAGAAAAAAGACATCTTGACTATGTATGAACTCTGTGCTTTTTGTCATAGAAACAATGATGCAAATAATGCAGGAATATCCATCTTTAATATCCCGACGTGGCGATATTCAAGTATTGCCATGTGCAAGTCTGAGAGCCAGGCTTACCCCAAGGAGGAACAAAGAGCTATCCCCAGGGTCTACTACAAAAGACCAAGGCTTAGAAGATACTTTAGAGAAACAGTTTCAGCTTAGGGACTCCAGATGAATACCTGCCCTCAGCTCTCAGGAGACACAGAACTAAAGAAGAGAACTTTCCTTCCTCTACTTAAATATGACCCCTGAAGTCTTCTAAAGTGGTCTGAAGTACTGAAAGAATAACTTCAATATGGATCTTAGAATTGTTTATCCCCCCCCCCTTCTTACTTTTTGGTAGCTGCAATCAGGAATTTCTTTTTGTAGCCCAAAGCTTTGGGGTTTGAACTTTCAATGACTTGTTTAATTTGAGTACAGAAACTCGAGTCATTACCTTTGACTCTTTTCTCTCTTATCCTTAAGGGTCAGCATTTTAGGAAAATGAGCTTTGAACTCTTTCAAGGCATGGAATAAGGGAACAAACAAACAAACAAAAAAACCCCAAACTAAGCATCTCTTCTGCTGCTTGAAAGAGATTGCTTTCAAGTCACCATTTTCAAGGCAAAGAAGTGGGCCTGAAAACTTTTAGACTTTTGCAATTTCTGCTTCTAATTAATGTCTTGAGAAAAAATTCCTTTAAAAAAATTAAAACTCCAAAGGAAACCCTAAGATCAACTTATATGGATTTCTAGATTTCACTAGTCCCTTTCTTAAAATGAGACTTCCTCACTTTCTCTCTATCGCCCCTCCCCCATACAGGCCATACAGAGTCCTGTAAAACACTGCTATGTGGGGTACTTTGGGGCATTTGGAATCTAGTTGGAACAGAAAATTCAGTCATTATCTGACAACGCAGAGAATATAGGTTTTGTTTTCTTTCCCCAGAGAAAAATGCTGGACCATTTGTTCCCCTTACACACACACACTCCTCTTTCTTTCAACCACCCAGAACTGCTTGTAAGCACAGTGCTGAAACGTGGGAACACATTTTTAAGAACTCAACTTTTAGTGGATGCTTGGCTTTTCTCTTGAAGGGTTAAGGGCCTCCTTACACATATTTCCAGGGAGGGGAAGGGGGAGGAGTTCAAAATATGGATAGAGCCTGAAGTGAGTCCACACATCTTTGATTCAGCTCCCTGAAGCTCAATCCTTTGGCATGCAGATATCAGTTATTTTCTGTGCCCCATTTCCCCAACAAATAAATATTTAAGCAAATACAACCTAAACATAAAATAACCCGTTTCCATTTCCTTCTTGGATTTATTTCTTTGGGCATGGGGCCACTGGGAGCAAAACATTTCTTTTTATCACACTAGACATTCTATAGACAACCCAGAAAGTTCTGAGATTCTGGCTCAGCTCTCTTGCTCCCACTGAAAACACCTAGCACTGGGTGACTGGCCTTCTGCCTTAACTCCCCCACAGTTACTAAGCCACACAGCTCCCTGGAGGGGTGGTGTGGGGGAGATGGTAGAGATTCACACTGAGATAAAGCATCCAACCTTCATTTGCAAATTCGAAATCCAACAGCAAAGATTTTCATGAGTTTAATGACTCACCAAGGTTTTATGTTCTCAGTAGCTCCTGTCATAACAGTAATATACTTAAAGATTCCCACCCTCCCTCCCACCCCATCCCCACTCTAGGGAGGGGGCTGCCCTCAGGCAGGATGCTAACCTAGTCTGAGGTCGGCTTGCTGGTCCCAGGTCCACCCCCACAGTACCTTAGAGCCCAATGAGGTGACAGCAGGCCCTGCCTGCCCCCGCAGCTTCTGGCTCAGCCTGGAGTACAGGGAGGAATGGGCCCAGGGTCCCCACTTCTATAAGGCCGTCAGGTCTGTATGGTGGTCCTTGGCCATTGGCTGCAAATGTTGGCCTGGGGCAGCTGAGGAGGAGCAGGAGGAAGAGGAAGAGGATGACGATGATCTGCCCTTGGTGTTGGGCAGCTTGTGGTCTTTTTTCCACTTCATCCTCCGATTCTGGAACCAGATCTTGATCTGGCGCTCAGACAGACACAGGGTGTGAGCGATTTCAATCCGACGGCGCCTGGTCAGATACCTGTTAAAATGAAATTCCTTTTCCAGTTCTAGGACTTGCTGTCGGGTGTAGGCCGTCCGGGAACGCTTGGGCTCCCCACCGGTGTAGTTGGGGTTCACTAGGAGACAAAATAGACAGCCAGGTCAGAGCCAGGCCACTAGTTAGGCCCCTTGCTTGCCTCTGCCCTCACTTCCTGGCTCATCCAGCTGCCGGCGGCCCTCCCCGCGCAGTCCAAGCTACACGCTTCCTCCCTCCCACCCTCTCCCTGAGTGCACACTCCCAACCACCCCCTTCTGTGCACCTACTCCCCCAGACTCACAGCGGCTGGATCTCCAAATGTATGCCCTTCTTCCTGGCCCACCAACAGCTCGGGATCCCAAGCATGTTGGAAATGCCCTTCTCTGGCACTGCTTTCCCTCCCGGGTGGAAATGGTGTCCTCCCCCACTCCACCCCCATCCCCACCCCCTTTTGCGCCCACAGCCAAGCAGCCAGCCACATGGTCCCGGCCTGCTCCCTCAGCTATAAAAATTTATGGAGAGAGTAATTACAGCACCCAAGAAGAAGCTTCACAAGCCCCCACCCTCTTGCGTACCCTCAGGGGGGCCCAGGCCAAGAGATGCGGATGGGGGGGGTGCTGATCGAGCTGCACCCACACCTTACCCGAATTCACGTGCACCTTCTTCATCCAGGGGTAAACCACAGCGGGCTGCTTGAGTGCCGTCCCAGGGGGTGGCTGCTTGGGGCCGCTGGGCTGGCTGCAGGCCCGGGCGCCAGGCAGGGGCGCAGGCGGGGGCGCTGGGCACGGCTCTCCAGGGGCACCGTAGTGACTGCCAGGGCCGCTCGGCTCCTGTCCGTGGCCCCGCGCAGGAAGCGCTGAGCCAGGTCCGGGACCACCACCTCCGAAGGGTTGCTCACTGAAGTCCGGCCGTGGGTAGAGCCCCGGGGGCTGGAAGTCGGTGCCCTGAGCCCCGCTACTGTAGTAGTCGGCACCCTGCTCGCCTAGGTAGCCACTCTGCAAATATTCCTCGCACGGAGGAAATTTGGGGTCCACATACTTGGAGTTCACCATATACGAACTCATGGCCATTAATTTCAGAAGGTAGAAAATACTAATTTTTCTCGTGTTGTCTTTTTTTCTCCTTCCATTGGGCCCTCCTACTTGCTGTCAACTGAATAAAGTTGGGCGGCCATGTGACCAGGCCAGCCAATAGGAAGGGAGCAAGTTTATCACCCGGTTGGTGAGCATCTCATAATTTTCACAAATTAAACTAAATAACATACGTGTAATCAAGTGACTTGCCATGCCACATTTGAGAGTCCTTGACAATTGTTAATATAGCTCCGATCCCTAGCACCCCTATTCCCAGCAGGTAATGTCAGCTTTTGTCTGCCACTGACTTTTGCTAACCTCCCATGCTCTCCCCGCTCACCACCTTCTGAAGCAGCCCCTAAAGTGGGCAGAGCTTAAGGGAGAGTGAATCTTCCTATTGGGGTGCAAAGTGTAAGGAAGGATGAGTGGGCAAGGTGGCCTCTGAGTTGGGCAGAGTGCCTTAGGCAGGCAGGCTGCCCAGCCAGCTGGCTGGGCCTGGGACTCTGCCATACAAAGACCTGTGGCGGCTTTGTCCTTATCAGGGTCACCCAAAAGTTACCAGAATCTGGCCGGCCTGAATTAAGTTAGGCAATGAGTAACAACTGTGCTTTTCTGCCAGTGCGCAGGCTGGGGTATTCCCATCTGAAACTGGGTCTTGCTGATATAGCAAGAGGCCCTCAATGGCCCAGGCTCTGGTAGCTGAGGGTTGGGTCTGGTGAATGGTGAGGAGAACTTAACCTTGTCCAAATGTACCCCAAAGGTCTCCAATGACCCTCTTTTTAGCTTATTTTCATCTCACACAAGGGCTTTAAAACTAGGTGAGCCCCCATTTGGGTATTTTTGCATTCAGGCTCCTACAGGGCAGAGCTACAGCTGAAGCTAGCTGGCCTTTCACCTCACTCCCCAGTATCCTTTTAGGTACCCCTTTGGCCCTACATTCAGGCGAGGGATCAAGGTTTCTTTTTAAGTTACATCACCCATTGGAGCCTCTATTTACAAAGGTAAGGAACATTTCTAGGAAAAGGCTGCACAGTGTTACCAAGCAAAGTCCATCCTCCTGTAGTCCAAGGTAATGAAACAGAAAGAGGTGGCCAGCCCGGCACCGGCTGCCACTAGTCTCCGCCTCTGTCTCTGGCTATGTCGGAGAAATGTGAAGTTTTTGCATCGACCATATATTCCCCTAGAATCGAATCTGTGACTACATGGGTACCACACAAATTCGGTTCTACAGGGTATATATAGACAACGTTATAACCTTCAGGTCCTACCCAGGGCAGATACCCAGATGCTGCCAGCCCTGGTGTCTTCATTCCAGCTACCGAAAGCTTCCCGAAGTCTGGATTTCGGAGACAGTTCAGGTAGCCTGGAGGCTTTGGTAACAATTTTGAGCCATGAGTTCCCTCATTCTTTTGCCAGGACTGGGGTTACTGAGCAGATGAGCGGCCAGGACCTTCTTAAGAAAGAAAAGAAGGGGGAAAAACTCACCCCAGAGATGGCAGCTTTATTAACCCCCTCTCAGAATCCAAATTCCTCCTCCTCCATCAAATGGTATTTGCCAGAAAGAGGCAAAGGCCCTCAGCCACAGGGGGAAAAAGAGAAGTGAAGAGGGAATATCCTTTGCCAATTCTTAAGCCAGATTGGTGGTCACAGCTAGTTTTCCCAGAAGTTGAGCATTTACCTTCCTGGGCCCTCAGCCCGGCTGTACCTGTACTCTCTCGGATCCGCTGCCCACTGCTGCTGCTGCTGCTGCTGCTGCTGCTGCTGCTGCTGCTGCTGCTGCTGTGGCTGCTGCTGCGGCTGCAGACCCTGAGGCAGGGGCTGCTCACAGGCACAGAGCAGCCCTGGGCTGAGCCAGGCGAGCTAATGGTGAAGGGCAGGGCAAGGGGTCATTAGAAATCATTTACAAACATATCACAAAGTTTCATTATTTTTGCTTTGCCGACAGCAGCACATAAGAGTACAAAAGTTCACGAATTTCACCCGCCCCAGCGCCTCCGTGTTGGCCGGGGCTTGCCCCTCAATTCAGGGCATCAAGAGCACAGATGCACTCTGGGGCTGTCTTGATTTCAGGGGCAGAGGGATACCCTGACTTGAGTGGAGCTTTTGGATGCCTGATAACTGGCTGAAGATGACCACATTTTAAAATATTGTTTTGATCCTTTCCTCCATAATTAAAAAAAAAATCACTTTCGATCTTCAGGCCTTGGTCTGATGAGATAAGGCAGGGTGACTTCCTGCACCAAATCTGGAAAAATTGGCTGCTCATTTTTACTCTGCTTTGCTCTTACATGACTCCCCCCACCCCAACCCACCCTCCATTTTTCAGTTCCACTGTTTTTGACTAATTTTAGTTCAAAAGGATTTCCTGGGTGCCAGTTCTAACAAGGGTTCTAAGGTTCCTGAATCTGTTTAAGAAGACTCCCCAATTTGCCTAATGCCAAGCACTTTACCTACCTGCCTTCCTGAGGACTCTGGGCCTACCTAGGCTTTATCCAGACAAATTGGGGAAACATGATGGGCTGGGTGGGGACCAGGATGAGTATACACATTTTCATATTGGTTAGACATTGTGACCTGCATTTCACCTTATTGCTCGACTTGTTCAGACAGGTCAAAGCCAACAAGTTATTGATGAACAAAAGCGTTAAATATTCACCTCCCGCTCAACTGCCCATACAAGCTCTTTTGATCTCTCCGGCTTTTTGTGCTGTGTGCAGCTACAAGGCACCAAATGTGGATTTGCAAGCAAGCAACCTCTGCAGAGATAAGCATCCAGGGCCGGGGGTGGGGGTGGGGGCCCAAGACCAAGGGGGCCTGGGGACCCTAGATTTTCCAACCTAGAGCCCAGAGCCCAGAGCCAGGTTCACTTGTACAGGCCTGGCTCATAGAGGGAATTGCCAGCTGGGTGGATTTCATCTTCTCTTGGTGAGCAGTCTCACCACTGTCAAAGCATAGAAATCTGGCCCTGAGCCTAGTCTCAACTTCTTTGACCATGAAGAGAAGACATCTCACAAGACAGGGAAGATGCCTGGTTCCTGTGGTCCATGCATATCCATCTTCCAATAAAACAAAAAGACCTCGGATTTGCAGCAAGGGAGAAGATGAGCCCCTGTATGTTTGACTTTTCCTCTACTACCACCAACTTAATGAGAAGGTCCTCCTGAAGATGTCACCAGCCTCCTCAGAAATATACCTGTATTTCAAAGCACAGGAAGCCCAGCCCAGATTCAAACTTCAGAGCTAAAGAAAGCAGTAAAACATAGGGGGTGGAGGTTAACTGAAAAAGTGCGTTACTGGGAATATGCTCTAGAAGGACTCTCTCTCTCTCTCTCTCTCTCTCTCTCTCTCTCTCCCCACCCCCCCTTTGTGAAGGACACCAGGGAGCAGAAATTCTTGAACTGCATTTAAGGAGAAGCAGTGGCGAAAGAGGAAGTCGATCTGATTATTCAGCTTGTATCCCAAACCCCGAAATTCACACTGATGGAGCTGGGCCCTGGGCTGGGGGAAGGGACCAGGGACTGGAAAATAATGTCCACATAAACTCAGGATTTGCAGTCCTTCTGGAAGCAAGCCAGTTCAACACACCCGAGGCTATCAAGGGTTATGTATTTGTTTTTGTGATAAATCAATTTAAAACAAAAAAAAAATGCCAAAGGAGAAGGTTGGGTTAGATTGGGCAGGATTTGATCTGTGCTGGGCTGCAGAGGGGACTGCATTGCCTCGGTGTTTACTATGTCAGTTCTAGCGGTTGGGGATGCTCGCCCAATTCGTTGATAGGGCGGGCTACTAATTAGTTGCAAGGTCTTAGGAGAAGCAGAGCTGCACCTGTGCGAGCTTCTCGTGGCTGGGAAAGTCAGGACTGTCCCGTGAGTCCCAAAGGAGAAAAGGGCGAGTCTCCGCTGTGCAGTTCCCTGTGCAGGTGACTGTGAACTAGGCCCCAGAAAAGCTTCCTTGAGACTCAACCCGGAGCCTCCACCTCCCAAAGCGAACTCTCCTCTGGGCTGATTCAGCCTGGGGAGGCAAGGCCCTCTGCCATCCTCCCAGCCCGCTAGGGCAACCCTTCGCCCACCACCTCCCAGCTTTGGTACCGCCTTTTCGCCTTTTCGTAATTCGGAAGAAACGGGAAGGTACTTACAGCGGCTCTCCCTCCTGCTCCAGAACCTGTTGCAATGAAAACAGAGGTGGGGGGGTTGTCACTTAAAATTCCACAGGATAATAAAGCAGAAGTAGATAACACACAGAAAAATGACAAAGCCCAGATACTCCACCAATATCTAGAACTCCCTGCTTCGGATGATCACCTTCAGGAACTGCGCAAAGTTCTCGGACAGCATCTTCAAAGACAGACCCACAGAGCCGAAGAGTTTGTCCTCATCACCTCTCCAACTCCATTCTCTCCTGGGCAAAACCGTACTAGTTATTTGGCCTGACTCAGATTGTCTGAGGCAGGGTTTCCCCCTTGGGGAAATGGGACGCAAAATCAAAGAAAATGGGCCTTTGTGTATTTCCTCCTGCGTCCGGGGCTGGGAAAGGAACCGCCATTCTCTCTGTCCTGGACCCCAACCAACCTCTCATCTGCTCCCTCTGGGAACAGTTCAGTCTTCTTTTTCGGTTCCAGGTTGGCTTCAAATCCAAGCCCCCCCCCCACCACCACGCCTAAAAAAAAAAAAAAAAAAAAAAACTGCCTCTTCCTCAATAATGGGCAGGAATGCTTTCCCTCTTCTCCAATTCAAAAGTCTTTACTTTATGTGGGGAAATGGGGACCCAAAGGATAACCAGGAGGGGAAATCGGTGGGTTTAAAGGTAAATGCCAGTACTCTAAACTAGTATCTATTTCTATGAGTCTGACATTAATTTTTCAACATTCCTGAAAGAGAATCCCCAAACTTATCTTACAGAGCAGTGGCCCCCTAGGCATTGGTGTCCACCTTCAAGTTTTGAGTCTTGTGGAACAGTAATCTGCTCTGAGAAATCTCAGGAGCAACATCATCTCCAGAATCATCCCCTCTTCCTCCCCATCCCAAACTAGGATTGTTTTATTCCACTTCTGAAGCTCTGTCACAGGGAGGAGAGAGGAAGTCCTTTTTGTGAGATAGAAGCCCTCCATTCCTAACTTTCCACATATACAAAAGAGAAGAAAGCCAAGGTCCCCAATCTAGGTTTATGCTAAAATTAGTATTAACTTTAATCAGATTTCTTCAGACAGAAAAGGTAGGGCAGAACTCCCCCACCTCTGGAGTTGTGGAAAAAGTAGTAAGTGACTTACAGTTTTCCTTTTCTAATGGGCAGGGGAGCTGGGAGAACTGTCTCTTCCTGAGCCGGGAGGGCGCTGGCTGGAGCCTCTCACTTTCCTATCGCTGCTCCAGGAACCTAGCATCTGCACTTGTATGCTCTTAACCTAATTTATGGTGGGAATTATATTTTGGCTTGTCAACTCTCAAGCCATAAAACAAAGTTTATTGGAATCACGTGCTTGTAAATAGCCACTCAGGTCCCTTCTCTGCAGAACCATAAATAACCTTTGGCTTTAAACTTTTATTCACTAAATAAAGGTTCACTGCAACTGTTCCCTCTGATTTAAATAGTTCCAAATATCCAGAATGCAAGGGAGGTCATATTCGTATCAATACCCCAAGCTTTTCAAATAGCATCTTTTCAGAGAAGGCTGTTTAAATTGGGGGATAGTGCTATTTGGAAAAAGCTGGTTGGTGGGCATGTCTTATGATTCTTTGGCTGCATTCGCTGTGAGTACCATCACCTCCTTTATTTCAATCATTTTCTAGCATTAGCTGTGGAAAATAGGAATGCCAAAGGCCATTTCTTACTTGCTTTCTTACATTTTCACAGAATTTGGGAATTATATGATATTTTGTTCAAGTTTCATTAGAGAAAGAGTGGTTAGGGAGAGGCTGGGTGGCCTTGGGGGTGGGGTGGCAGCTGGAATTAACACTTGGCTTCCTCTGTATTGTTGTGGATGGGCTTGGTGAAAGTTGAAGATAGCCACTTGCCTAGGGGTTTTTATAATTTGCTTAGATCTGAAAGAGAAGCCTTTGCAAGTGACCAAACTGCTTAAAATAGCAAGACTTGGGGTTTGGTGATGTGAGAAAATAGAGAATAGCCCCCATTGGACTCTGGCAACTGAGGCTCTAAAGAAGGT